TTTCATTTTGCAATGTACCATTGTAAAACAGTTGGCTTGGTTTGGTGTATTTCACTCCCCGTGTTTTTACAGGATGAGCGGTAGAATTGCCTTGATGAAATTTAATTAATTATTAAAAACTATTTAATAAATTAATAATAATTGTATAATATGATTATAATTTTATTTTTATTATTATTTAATGTATGCTCTTGCTTTCCATCAAAACCGATGAGTAATAATGCCTACTAATAATAAAAGCAAAAAACTATTAATACTCTTAATTTAAACAATGAAGTTATTTTAACCTCAATTAACCAAAATAGAGAAAGTCAACATTTACCCTAATAGCTTCACAATTGTTAGGTGAATCACTGCAGTTGTTAAGTTAGTAACACAGTTGTTAAGGGAATCTGGCTTTCCCATTGACTTTGCTTGTCAGAAGGACATAAAAGGCAATCACATGACTCTGGGATACTGCATCCATCACAAATATGAGTCAGTTGCCAAGCAGATAAATTTTATGTGAATGTGGGGATACTGCTTTAGTCATAAATTTATTTATTTATTATTTATTTATTATATTTCTATACCGCCTTTCTCCCGTAGGACTTATTTTCACTCAATAAATGTGAAAAATGGTCATTAAGTCACATTTTTCAATGCCATTGTAACTTTGAACTGTCACTAAATGAATTGTTATAAATCAAGGACTATCTGTATTAATGCCTTTAGATTCAGATCCAATCCCACTCTTAATTGTTTTATATCACTACAACTCCTTCCCTTAGGAATTCAGTGTAACGTTATATGGGAAATGTTATTCATTTTATTTCAATAACAATCCTATGAGGTATCTTAGGCTGAAGGGAAGTGACTGGCTTAAAGTCACTGAATCGATGTCCGTATGGCTGAGTGTGAACTTAAATGTTGATCTAACCCCTACTTCCTGTTGACTAGCTCCCACTAGTGGCTCTAAAATAAAATGTAATGTTGTATCTGGAAAGCTATCTCCAATTTTTTCTGTGTATTGTAGCACAAATCTGTAAATTATTCTCAAGAAACATGATTTTCGACTGCAAAGCTCCTTTGCAGAATCAGCACATTTATGGCCTTTTAGCATCAAAATAAGAACTGGGACTCTTAAAAAAAAAGTTAAATCCTGCGTGGCCTTTCTCAGACAAGTGGGAACTGTAGGCAGAGGGGAGCTTTCTCTGATGTCTTACCTTGTTAAGATTTCCCATATATTGCTAATTCACAAAATCAGGAGAGGCACACATGGATAAAGATAAGAGTTGGGTCCTAAAACCTATGCATACATTAATAATATTTGGGCCAGTTCAGGCCAGTGATCTGCCATTTTGAATATAGCAAGTTAAAAGCTGTTCAACTTTAGGAAAGAAAAGTGCTGGAATTGTTTCCCATCACTGCCTCTAGTCTCCAAGTTGCCCTTTAGAAAGTGAATCCAAACATTTACCGTACATCTTTCACTCTCTTATATTCATATACCAATACGTGCCACACTGCTGATTTTATCCCAATGTTTTCTGCCTCAGAAAAATCTATACAGAAATTAAAATGGATGAGGGTAAATTGGATTGCAAAATCAAACTAGATTTTGCACAAAAATCCCATTAAGAGGAACGACAGCTTCTGTAGCCTTTTGTAATATTTTTGTTTTTTCTTTCTAAGGAAAAATCTGCATATAAGCATGTTAGTATGATTAGATCCACAAGAGGGGGCTGTTGTACAGGTTTATTATTCAAGGAACAGCAATAAGGATGCAGCATTTTACTTGATTTAATTTAATTTAAATAAGTAAACATAATTTCTTAACACGAACACACAATATACAGAACTATACAGGTAGTCCTTGACTTGTGACTATTTCCCTAATGAGTATCTGACATTAGAACATAAAAAAAAAAAGTAACTTATGACCTGTTACAACTGCTGCATCACCTCTGCAAGTCATTTTGAGTGCTTGGCAATTGGTTACCATTTGCAACTGGTTGCAGTCTCCTACAATAATATGATCCCATTTTGCAAAGTTTGTTGCCATTTTCTGGAAAAAACGCCTGTTGGATAAGCTGAATTCAGGCTTACAATGTGATTAACAACCACATGATTTGCTTAACGACCATTCATTATTATCAAAATTCTGGGCTCAGTTGTGATCATAAATTGAGGATTCTCTGTAATGTTAGAAAGGGTCGTTTCAGCCACTAAACCCAATTCCTTAACCAATGTTCTTTTGCTAAGTTTTGGAGTCTGGAATAGTTTGGAGCTTTTACAATGACTTTGGCTACTGACCATGGTTTGCTTGTTTTAAAGTGGCAATTTATATTTTATATGCTAGTAATTAATTTTAAACTTGTTTTATTGGATTTTGTATAAACTGTTAAAAATTATAATTTAGAGTTACAATTCTCAATACTATTTTTTCTTCTATAATTTGTAGGCTAGGATCCTACTCTAGTTCAGTGGTGAGATTCAAATTTTTTTACTACTTGTTAAGTGGGCGTGGCTTGGTGGGCATGGTGTTGCTTGGTGGGTGTGGCAGTGGAAGGATACTGCAAAATCTCCATTCCCTCCCTACTCCTGGGGGAAGGATATTGCAAAATCTCCATTCTCTCCCCACTCCTGTGGGAAGGATATTGCAAAATCTCCATTCCCTTCCCACTCCTGGGGAAAGAATATTGCAAAATCTCCATTCCCATCCCACTCTGGGGCCAGCCAGAGGTGGTATTTGCTGGTTCTCCAAACTACTCAAAATTTCCACTACTGGTTCTCCAGAACCTGTCAGAAGCTGCTGAATTTCATCCCTGCTCTAGTTATAGAAGTTAAGACACAGTCTCAGTGTCTAAGCTCAGGAACCTCTAATTCTTCCTTCCACTCATCTCTTACCATCTGCATATCAAATTGACTTATTGAAATTAACATAGGTAGTCCTCAACATATGACCACAATTGATCCCAAATTCTGTTGCTAAGTGAAACATTTGTTAAAATGGAGTTTTGTTTCATTTTACAATCTTTCTTGTCATAGTTGTTAAATGAATCACTGCAGTTTTAAGTTAGTAACATGGTTTTTAAGGGAATCTGGATTTTCTATTGATTTTGCTTGTCAGAAGATTGTAAAAAGTGATTACATGGCTCTGAGACACTGCAACCAGGGGTGAAATCCAGCAGGTTCTGACAGGTTCTGGAGAATCGGTAGCGGAAATTTTGAGTAGTTCAGAGAACTGGCAAATACTACCTCTGGCTGGCCCCAGAGTGGGGTGGGAATGGAGATTTTGCAATATCCTTCCCCTGCCACACTCACCAAGCCACACCATGCCAACCAAGCCATGCCCACAGAACCGGTAGTAAAAAAAAATTGGATTTCACCACTGACTGCAACTGTCATAAGTATGAGTCAGTTGCCAAATGTCTGAATTTTGGTGATGGGGTCATGGGATGCCGCAGTGGTCATAAGTGTGAAAAATGATCAAAAACCACTTTTTACAGTGCTGTTGCAACTTTGAACAGTCATTAAATAAACTGTTGTAACTCAAGATCTACCTGTACTAGGGTGTTATTTAGTTTTAAAAGGTTTAATCAACTGTTTTGTATTTTGGATATCTGAGAAGCTGAAACTGATCCAAACAATGTTGTTAATAGAGGTTTCTAGTTGTAAATATTGCCATTGGGTTACATCTGGTAGAGCTGCAGAAGCTTCTTGGATGAGAAGCGAAAAGTCTTCAAAACCAGAAAGTCCAGTTGCCTCTTGAAAAAAGCACCTGTGGGACAACCTTGAGTCTTTGGAGAAAGGCGGCATACAAGTTGAACAAATAAAATAAACCATGTCCTGGATGACTGAGAATCTCCATAGACATCTGGTAGATGGTAATTGTCTCTTAACAAATATATTGTCTCTTATCATCATCTATCAAATGATCCAAAGTCAATATCTGAGGTTTCATCCATTTTCTTCATATCACCATCTTTTTTCCAATTTTTAATGTTGGATTTCCCCATAATGTCAATATGGCATGGGAAAAAGAAGCAAGCTTTTTCAAAATATTACATTCCATAGCTTTCTAATTGACATAATTGTTTCCAAAAATACTGTACTAGAGTTCTATTTTATTTAGATCCTGTCTATTTAGAACATTGTCTATTAAACCAAAGGTGCTATCTATGTGCATACCAAGGTTGTCCATGTCTCAAAATTAATATCAGTTATTAGCTTCCAGCATTTAATACTTGACAATAGATAAGTTTGAAGACAAATCTTCTGTTTCAGAAAACCAAACCTTCCCTAATTGATGGTTGCATTTCCTATCAAAGGTATTCTCAGAATTAAAGAACCTCATACAAAATTTCAAAACTAAGATTTTATCTTCTGAAAATATTTTCCAGATGTTTGAATTTGAACAGAAATTTTTCTTGGAGTATAAATTAATTTGGGAAAAATCTTGGCCTTTTAATCAAGATCAAGGGTAGTATTGCTTTCTTTTTTTAAAAAAATACAAAATTTACATTGACTGCTATTTCATTTATCTCTTCAATTTTTTAACTTTCAAGATTATTTTAATGCTATCTCTGTGTTTTTAAGGTTTTTGCTATTTCATCCAGTTTGCTGTCACTTCTATTTATTCTGTGCTCCCAGTTATTTATTAAAAAATGACATAGATGACCTTATTTCATTCTGTACCTCCAAAATAGGTAAGTTAATGGTTATTTGAAGATACACAAAAGATCCAGGCTAAGCCAAGGTGAGCTAAATCTAATGACCTAGTGTAGGAGAGAGAGGGGGGAGGGAGGGAGGGTGGAGAGAGAGAGAAAGAGAGAGGGTGGGAGTGAGTGAGTGAGAGTGAGTGAGTGAGAGAGAGAGAGGAAACTCCTGCAACAAAATTGGAAAAAAGATTTTATTCGAAGGCAGATTTATTGTTGATGGATTGCATCAGACCTGCTCGGCCACAAACTTCAATGAAGCAGCTGGCCTAATTTATTTAATGGCTGTGAAAAACAACATACCTTTTCATCTCTCATGTCTTTCTCTTCCTCTAACAGCGCTGTTAAATATTCAATTTTATCTGCTTGCTCATCAATGATTCTCCTTAACTTATCTATTTTTGCAGCTTGTAAATCCACTCTACATTGTTCATCCACTTGTGCATATTTCTGTCAAAACAAAAGGAGGAATAGTAAGAGATCCCATTGCAGTTAGTTGTCCAGATAACAACAACATGAGTAGCTTCACGAGGCATATAGTTTATGAATGTGTTTTACCATTCTTTTTGGTCTGATCTAAACAAAAAGATGTGGTGGCTCAGTGGCTAAGATGCTGAGCTTGTCAAACAAAAGGCCGGCCATTCAGCACTTTGAATCCCTAGTGCCGTGTAACGGGGTAAGCTCTCATTACAGCTTCTGCCAACTTAGCAAGTTCGAAAAGACATTAAAAAAAAAAATGTAAGTAGAAAAATAGGGACCAATTTGGTGGGAAGGTAACAATGGTCCGTGTGCCTTTGCCGTTTAGTCATGCCGGCCATATGACCACGGAGACATCTTTGGCTTTGAAATGGAGATGAGCACTGCCCCGTAGAGTCCGGAACAACTAGCACATATGTGCAAGGGGAACCTTTACCTTTACCTTAAAGAAAAAGAATAAGAGCTTTTGTATTTATTTTAATTATGAAGTGGCCAAGGAAGGCAGGGAAAGGTCTGATATTTTATGACACAGCAGTTTGTGTCCCACCAACTTCCCAAACTTTAATTAACCCACAAGATAAAACATGAAGAAATTATTTCCCTGCGGTGGAGGTGTTCAGATTAGAAAACAGTGGCAACCACTGCAGAAGAGAGGAAAAATATTTATTTATTTAATAAATTTATCTAGTGCCCATCAAACTGAACATGACTCTAGGCCATGTACTACTAACAATTAAAAGAATGTCTCAGCAGTTAAAAAAACCCTGTAAAATATAAATAAAAACAATAATGCAGGAGCTGAACATACATCTAAACCAGTGGTGGGATTCAGCCAGTTCGCACCACTTCGGGAGAACTGGTTGTTAACTTTGCAGTTTGGCAAACTGGTTGTTGGAAGAAATCATTAGGGCAGAGGACTGGTTGTTAAATTACTTGAATCCCACCACTGATCTAAACCCAATATGACCATTGCGTGGATTCCCCCATGGGATCCACAGCTGCCGGTAAAGCCACATTTTCAGGGCCTTCCAAAAGGCTAATGGAGATAGAGCTAACTCCCCCTCCTGAGGGGGCATAATGTTTTAGAGTGCAGAAGCCACAACAGAAAAAAACACACTGTTTTGGTCCCATCAGATAACTCTTTAAAAACAGGACATACAATATACCCCTCCTGCTGGCTTTGATGGGATAGGCAGATGGTGTTCCCTCATATAGCCTGACCCCATAGCCTGATCCCAAGCCATGTAGGGCTTCAAAAGTCAAAACCAGCACCTTGAATTGCACCTGGAAGCAAACTAACAGCCAATACAGCTCACGGAACAGAATATAATGAGTGCCATCCTAGAGGCACACCTAACTTAACATAAAAGGGGGAAAATGCAGTGGCTGTACTTCCACCTTGCAACAGTTAAACCCCAAATCATCACCAATTTAACAGCTACATTTGGGATAAATAGGATTGGGCCAGCACTGAATGTCACAGTGGCCTGCTGGATGAGTCAGTGAAACTGTCAAATATAAATTAAAGTATGATAACACCTTTCACTTTTAGCCGTCAGTGTGGAAAGCTTGCAGATTACAATTCAGCATGTAATGTACAACTACCAGTATTTATAGCCACTGACAGTATTAGCTTCCATAAACTAATACAATCATCTTTGAAACTATTTAGAGTTTCTATCATTACTATGCATATCTAATCTCTTTGAGTGTATTTCAGTAGATAGAGTGGCAAAGTTTAGATGGGATTCAGGAAGCCAATGTATTCCAGTAGTCCTGTTACTCTTATATAAAAATTGCTTTACATAATGATTGGGCAGAATCACATCTACACAAGAGAACTTCACATATTTCCACATTGGTCCTTTAGAATAGATTTTCAGATTGTTTCACTTGTGTGTTGTTTTATCAATTCAGGTTCTTGGTCAGAAAGTTAAAACATTTGAATAATTTGCTTCAAATACCAAATTTAATGCAGTAAATAGAAGTAACCTATATCCCTCTACTTTTTTTAATTTAAATTTTATATGGCCTGACTCTAAGTGACTCTGGCCAATTCACAAACACAGAAATATAGCAATAAAAGAATAGTACAATAAAGGCAAAGAATGAAAAAGATGGTAAAACCAGGTAATAATGAGAAACATACTATTTATAAAAACTTTCAACCACTCTAATAAAAAGTCAGAGCAAAGAACATAGATTGTATTAGATGCCTCAAGTAAATACAATAGCAAGAATCAAAAACTCACGGAATAGTTCATTTTAAGAATAGCAAGTGCATCACTTAATTGTTGTTGGTAGCTATATCGTGTTTTTATTTCTTTCTGTAATTAAAAAAGAAAGGATTCATATTTGTATGAATTATTAAATTAATAGTAATAACAAACTGAAAAAGTAGGTTACAATGCAAACAAGTAATCCCCATTGTAGAAAAAAGTTCTTATCAAATTTCTCTTTTTAAATATATTTTTTTAATATTAAAGTATGGAGCTACTGTACAGTGTGATCCATAAGTCAGTTTGTCTGGCGCTGTCTGCTTCAAAATTGTTATCAAACCCTTGGAGTGCACACCATAAGAATTTTAATCTAGCATAACTGAATGTCTCCTGATTAAGGAAGGCATTACTGAATTTGATGGATCTGACTGACTCCTAATATTGTTGAGATTTATAATTGCTATACCTGCTGGCTGCCAGTCTTGGAAAGCCTGAGTTATGAGATCTTGTACAGAATAATCAACGAAAGAAAATTATGAAATATGAACATTCTTTTTCCACATTCAGTATGAAGGGAACACAGGAATTTGTCTGTCTTCTCTGCTGTGTGGCAAGTTAGTGGGCTCGGTAGTCTTCAACTTATCATCACAACTGAACAACAAATTTTTTGTTGCTAAGGTGATAGTTATTAAGTGATTTTTGCCCCATTTTACGATCTTTCTTGTCACAATTGTTAAGAGAATGACTCAATTGCTAAGTTAGTAACATGGTTTCCCCATTAACTTGCTCATCAGAAGGTCACAAAAGATGATCACATGACCCTGGGACACGGCAACTCTTATAAATATCAACCAGTTGTTAAGTATCTCAATTTTGATCATGTGACCATGGTGCAATGGTTGTTAAGTGTGAAAAATGCTCATGTCACCTTTTTCAGTGCTGTTGTAACTTCGAACGGTCATTTAAACAAAATATTGTAAGTTGAGGACTATCTGTATGGTCCATCGTGAGACAAGGAATTAGTTTTGAAAACACAAAGGACCTTAATGCAGCTCCAATGCCACTTAAGGTCATCCCGCTGCCTGAATTTTAGGAATTTTACAGCACTAAATCTTCAGTTTTGGTCACCATGATGTAAAAAAGATGTTGAGACTCTAGAAAGAGTGCAGAGAAGAACAACAAAGATGATTAAGGGACTGGAGGCTAAAACAAATGAAGAATGGTTGTTGGAATTGGGTATGCCTAGTTTAATAAAAAGAAGGACTAGGAGTGACATGATAGCAGTGTTCTGATATCTCAGGGGTTGCCACAAAGAAGAGGTTAAGCTATTCTCAAAAGCACCTGAAGGCAGGACAAGAAGCAATGGATGGAAACTAATCAAGGAGAGAAGCAATCTAGAACTAAGAAGAACTTTCCTGACAGTTAGAACAATTAACCAGTGGAACAACTTGCCTCCAGAAGTAGTGAATTCTCCAACACTGGACATTTTGAAGAAGAGATTGGACAACCATTTATCTGAAATGATATATGGTTTCCTGTCTGAGCAGGGGATTGGACTAGGAGCCTGAGTGGCGTAAGAGGCTAATGCCTCCTACTAAGGCATCATTTAACATCCAGCTGCCTGCAATTACGGCGAGTTCAATTCTCACCAGGCTCAAGGTCGACTCAGCCTTCCATCCTTTCTAAGGTGGGTAAAATGAGGACCCAGTTTGTGGGGACAATAAGCTGACTTTGTATAAAATATACAAAAGTATGAAGGCTATTGCTTAATGCATTGTAAGCCGCCCTGAGTCTCCGGAGAAGGGCAGCATATAAAAATAAATAAATAAATAAAAAATTAGAAGACCTTCAAGGTCCCTTCCAACTCCTATTCTATTCTATTCTATTCTATTCTATTCTATTCTATTCTATTCTATTCTATTCTATTCTATTCTATTCTATTCTTCTGCTTTATCGTCTTCATCTTCTCCTTCTCTTCTTCCTCCTCCTTAAAGAAAAGTTCTGAAGAATTTAAATACTTGCACTCACTTTTATATTAATTGGATTGGTTTTTTGTAATTATGTGGTTATTCTTTTATGAGCTATTTACAGACAGCACAGATGGTGCAAAATGAAGATGAAGGAGGTTAACTTGTACCTGCTTATAAAGTTTCTCAATGTCTTCCAGTCGGTCACTTATCTCTAGCCAGAGTTTGGATGAATATTCCTGTATTTTTTCCTCATACTGCATTTTCAGAATATTTTTATACATTGCAAAGTCATCACAGAGGGAGTATGTAAACTAAAAATTCAAAAAAAGATAAATGTTATATAAATTCAAAATTTCTTTTGGAACTGTTATGATTACAAAAGGTGGTTACTGACTATGGTGGATTTTTTAAAGTTTGGTTTCACTTTCTGTCTCAATGTTTTGTGGGTAGTTGAAAGTAAAGAAGAAATAATAAGAAAGCTGATCAGAAATGCAATGTAAATATCAGGGAAGCAAAGATCTTTGCAAATATTGAAGCATAATGATGACTATAGACATACAGTATGAATTCCATACAGATTTTATAGGAGAATTAGCCTTCATATAAACAAGGGCAATTAATCACATAGACTGCAACAATTCAACTCAATGCAATTCAATGAACTCTCTAACTTCAAACTGGAGGCTGATAATAAAACAAAGCAAGGTAAAAAAGCACAATAAAGATAAAAAGAGAATATCTGAAAAATGGTAATTAAAGTTACCTCTAGTAAAATTCTTGTCATTGCTGTAGACTGTTTCAGATCTCCTACTTCACTTATCTCAGTTTGAGTGGCATGATCAGAGATGACAAAACCTATTTTTAGGTCCTCTGAAATACAAGGCCTGAAGATTTTTAAAATAAAAAAAAAAGTAGTTATTTTAAACAGCAGAGAAGCTTTGCCTAATAGAAATTAGCATTTCAATTTACAAAACGATCCATTTCTGGTTTAGTTATATATCTTCAGTGTTATAAACATAACTGGGATGGAATTAATGCCCATATTTTTTGAAGCAAGCCTATTTATAGTTCCTTGGTTTTCAACTTGAATACAGTGCTTTTGGGTGATTGATTTTGTACTTAGTTTTTATTATTCTGCAGTGGAATGTTATAATTATCTCATTTAGAAGATGGTATAGCTAGGAACTACGAAATGTAAAGAGCTCTTTACACAATCAGAACTTTTATTCTTAATAGTGTAAGTAAGTAAGCTTTTTATTGCGGTCAGAGACCAAATTAAAATACACATAGAAGGGGAGTATATTTTACAAATATAGATAGATCATGAGTCAGTACACCATCTACTGCCTCAGATTTAATAGTGATATGAAGTGACTTGCCATTTCATTTTCTTCCTAAGGTTTTTTTTTTTTTAAGTTTCCCAGTCTAGCTTCTGGGATTTCTTAAGCATTTTGGCCAAATGTTAACCAAGTCTAATTATCTTTTGGCTGTGTGCTGCCATCTGATGGGCATTATATAGAGAAACAGATATGAAGATGTCTAAAGGAAATTCCAGATTTAATTCAGGGCATTTCTTAAAACAGCAGATGATATGGAAAATCTGCACTTGAAATCTAGATAACTGTATCCAGTACAGTTTGCCCATCTGACCTATGAATGTGTAACTGTCTGACCAGGTAATTTGCATAATGCTCTGTTCCAATACAAACCCATTTCAAATTAACAAACAGAGCAGTAGTGGGTTTCAAAATTTTTTACTAACAGTTCTGTGGATGTGGCTTGGTGGGCATGGCTTGGTGGGCGTGACAGGGGAAGCATACTGCAAAATCCTCATTCCCTCCCCACTCCTGGGGAAGGTTACTTCAAAATCCTCATTCCCTCCCCACTCCACTAACCTACTCTGGGAAGGAATCAAACTCCCCCCTCTTCATTTCCCCAAATAAAATATTACTCATAAGAAAAGACTCCCAGAAAAGCATGGAAAAATCAAGCTGCTAACAAAGGAACCTGCCTGAGGCTCATTCCACATTCCTTCCAGCTGCATAAAGGAAATTTTGTAAGAAGAAAACAGCTACCAGTGCTTAGAGATAATAGAAAGTGGAAGCTGGAAGTTTGGCTCCATTTACAAGCAGGTAGAAAACTCATTCAAGACAGGATATTTCACAAGGGAAATCACCCAAACCTTTTTAGAAATACAAAGCCCATGTTGCACAAACCCCAAAACTTCAAAAACATAGAACTATATAAGAATCCCTCCTCTTATCCAGTTTGTTGTTCAGCTGACCCAGAAACGAACTGCTGAATGTCACTTCGTTTCTGTAAGTAAAAATCTCCTTCCAGCAGGTGCTTGGCTTGTCAATTTAAAGCAACTTAAAGTTGTCTTGGTTTTTGTTTTTTCTTCTTCTTCTTCTTTGCCAAGCGATCTCCCAGCTGAAAAGCGAGGCCTGATTTTTTCCTTCTAGCCGATCAGATCGGAGAGTGGGAGGCAGCGAATAGATTGGGGGCGGGCCAGGCAGAGGTGGTATTTACCAGTTCTCTGAACTACTCAAAATTTCCACTACTGTTTCGCAAGAACCGGTCAGAACTGACTGAAACCCACCTCTGAAACAGAGATAAATGATGTAACAAATAATTCAACAAAGAACAGCAACAAAAAACAAGGATGCAGGATAAACCCCAAAACTTAAATTTAATTCCTTTCAATCAGGCTCAGCCCATAGCTCTTCCCCAATTGTATAAGACCCATGTACTCAACATACCTATCTCACAATACCCAAGAGAAACTCTTTCCTCTTATAAACTAGAGTCCCATTGTTCATGCATCTCTAGCCTATTCTACGTAATGTTCTCTGAACCCCATCCCTTAGCCTTTCTCTTTCTGGTTGTGTCCATACAACATGTTTTTCTAGGTGTAATTACTACAATTTATTCATTTCAGTTTTCTGGGTTCCCAGTGAATGAATGAATCTAAACCGAGGAGCTAGGATTGGCCAACGTAATAGACCAAAATGTGGTTGACTAATTCATAGTTGTGGGATTTGTAAACATAGATTCTATGTACGTAGCCAACCAGCCCACTTAGATATGTCAATGTGTCATCTTCAGCACTCCAATAGTTTCTATCTGATGTCATATCTATCCATTGCCTGGTTTTGCAAAAGCAGATCATACAACCAAGCCAATACATAATAAATATTCTAATTCCAGCATATCTAGTATTAGGTCTACTTAGACATAATAATCCCATATCAAAGAAGAACACTAAATACTTATCTAAGCCTCTGTGTAAGACAATATGTATATTATACATACAGGTTTTAAAATACAATATAACCATGACAAGTTTTCTTTCTTTCTGTCTATGATATGAGAGCCATATCATATACTGTAGTTAAAATTCTTACAATTTGAGTGAAATAGTTGACTGCTATCCAATGAGGTGATCCACAGATCTGCAGCTTTTTAAGGAAGAAACCTAAATCTGGAGAGACTCTATCTATTGTGGCGAGGTAAAAACCAGGAGGAAAACTGTCCTTTTCAACTATTTGTGAGAGTTAGAATCTCTACTGTGTTTTACATGATTGGTGTTGCTCTGAATCCTGATTCTTAGCTAAATGATTAATTAATCTTGGTTTACAATTCTTGTCTCTTTCCACTCAGAGTTTGTGGCTCAGTCATAAAAATAAGTAATTTCTGCATATTAAAGATTCATGATTTGTGTGTGTGTGTGTGTGTGTGTGTGTGAGAGAGAGAGAGAGAGAGAGAGAGGGAGAGGGAGGGAGAGAAACTATAGCGTGTAGAGTAGGGGTGTCAAACTCGCAGTGTCACATTGTCATAACATGACATATCTCAACTTTTTTCCCTTCGCTAAACCGGGGGGTGGGGGTGGCCAGTGCATGATGCATCGGACCCATCCCACAGATTGCAAGTTTGACACCTCTGATGTAGAGAATAAGCAGTAAACTTTTTGGTAGCCTTAGCATAGGCGGCTTTTAGATCAAAATATGCCTTATTTTGTAGCCATAGAGTCACACTACAAAATGTGGGGAAAGCTAGGATAATACCTAAAATTAAATTTAGTTCAGATTGATTGAATGCGGTTTATATTGGCTTCTTATGTACTTAGTAGCTTCCATCTTCAGTTATATTAGACTTTTCAAGTTGATAGATTTAGAGAGACTTTTGGGGGCCATATGTTGGCTGACACTGGATTAAATAATTTAACTATCTTGTGCCTTCAAGTAGTTCTCTAAAGAGTCTGCACTCTAAGCTAACTGCGTATACATGATTCATCATATTGACATTTTCAGCCTATAACAGCATAAAACACTCTTCAGACGTATTTAGGAAAGGTTTGTTGCTTCCTTAATGCCCATTGTCAATTTATTTGACAAGCCAGTTATTTTCTTTAGCAAGGTCTTGTGGGGACAGCTTGTAATGTCTAGATATCTTGAAGGTGGAAACTATCCAAAGATTTCCTGGCTTTGGCAGTTTTGACAAACAGATGCACACAGTGATTGCTTAGTCTTCTGACCATCAAATCAGACTGAGTCAACATGTACGTCACCCAGGCTAAACTTAGCTCATTCAGAAAGGGAACTCTTAATGCAAAACTATATTAAGAAACATGATAATGCCATTCTTAAAATGTCTTAAAATGACTCCTTGCCATAATCGCTCCTAGTTTGCGTTATACAAGTGACTCCCTGTGAGTGAATTTGTGCCATATTTCAAACTCTTCCAATGGGAACATGAAAATATTCACTTGCAGGACAGTGGTGGGTTTCAAAATATTTTACTACCAGTTCTGTGGGCGTGGCTTGGTGGGCGTGGCATGGCTTGGTGGGTGTGGCTTGGTGGACATGGCACGGGAAAGATACTGTAAAATCTCCATTCCCTCCCGATCAGCTGGGACTTGGGAGGCAGAGAATAGATGGGGGCGGGGCCAGTCAGAGGTGGTATTTACCGGTTCTTCGAACTACACAAAATTTCCACTACCGGTTCTCCACAACTGGTCAGAAGCTGCTGAAACTCACCTCCGTTGCAGGAGCAGGGAGGATAAAAACCTTTCCTGGTTCTGAATGTGACCCCAGAGATACAACTGAATTTTAAGAGTCCATATGGACAGGGTGGCCTATGAATGTTGTATTGCCAATAAATAAATAAGCTAACCATCAACCATCTGTGAGAGTTATTTCTCACACTAGTGGGAATAATATAATAGTCAAACTATTCTTCAAAGCATCTGAGGGTAGAACAAGAAGCAATGGGTGGAAACTAATCAAGGAGAGAAGCAACCTAGAACTAAGGAGAAATTTCCTGACAGTTAGAACAATTAATAAGTGGAACAACTTGGCTGAAGAAGTTGTGAATGCTCCAACACTGGAATTTTTTAAGAAGATGTTGGATAACTATTTGTCTGAAGTGGTGTAGGGTTTCCTGCCTGGGCAGGGGGTTGGACTAGAAGATCTCCAAGGTCCCTTCCAACTCTGTTATTCTATTCTATTCTATTCTATTCTATTCTATTCTATTCTATTCTATTCTATTCTATTCTATTCTATTCTATTAACAGTAAACAGATGCAGACAGCCCTCATTCCTAAAGAGGCAAGCTTCCAGTCCTCTACAAATCTCTAAAAACTGAAAGAGGTGAAAAAGAGTTGCATATACTGTACATCGGTATCTCATTCAGAAATAAAATATTAATGGAAATTCTCATGTTGCAACCATAATCTTCCTTCTAATAAATGCTACTAAAGAAAGTTTTTAGAGACTTGTTCCATAAATTAACTATTAACTGTAGGCAGGCTGGCATCATCCTCAACTGGATACAATACACAACTGGACAAGCTAACTGTAGTATATTTCCATCTACATTTTCAGCA